CAACAGTCTTAGCTGATCGAGCACAGGGGTTCTCAACCTTCCCCATGCTGCGACCCTTTAATACAGTTCCCCCAAACAGAAAACTATTTCATTGCTACTTCATAACTGCACTTTTGCCACTGATATTCATCATTTTTAAATTTATTTTATTGTATAGGAGTTTGTTTGTTTGTGTTTTTTTTTTTTGGTTTCTCGAATAGCGGTCTGTGCACCAAGTGCAGACAGTACCTTCTAAGGCCAGAAGATGGTGTCAGAGTCCCTGGAATTGGACTTACACAGTTGTGAGCTGCCATGCCGGTGCTGGGAATTGAACCTGGGTTTTCTGTAAGAGCAGCCAGTGCTCTTAACCACAGAGCCATCTCCTCAGCGCCACTGATATGAACTGTAATGTAAATATCAGATGTGCGGCCTCAAAGGAGTCTCGACTCACAGGTTGAGAGGTTGAGAACTGCTGTTCTAGCATCTGCCTTTCCCCCAGAGGGAGAGATAAAGAAATGCCCCCCCCCCCCCACATACACACACAGAAATGCCCAGGGAACACTCATGTACCTGAGGACCCTTTCAGGGCAAAGAGAGAAACATCAATGCACACTCTCGTTGTAAATACCCTCTCCCTCATCTTGGCCAGTTCCCATCTTCCCTACTGCCTGTCAGGCCTTGATGGCCAGTGCCACTCCTTTCAAGAGTCCCCTCCCAGTCCTCCAGCTCCACTTCTCTTCTGAACTCACACAGTACTTCATCTGTACCTCTCTCCTTCCCCTTAGCCCCGAGAGTCCTGCATATCTAGCTAGCATACTTCAGCAGCCATGGGTTGGAGGCAATGTTCGATAGCCTTCCTTATGCTCTATGCCAGGGCAAGCTGAGCCCAGAGAAAGCTTTTGAAAAGACAACTGTTACATAATTAATAAGGTGACAATAACATTAATACTAGTCATAGGTTGAACATACATGCTGTACTAGGCTCAGTGCTAAGTGTTTTATGTGTCTTACTTCAGTTCTTTTTTGTTGTTTTGTTTTGTTTTTCGAGACAGGGTGTCTCTGTGTAGCCTTGGCTGTCCTGGAACTTGCTCTGTAGAAGGCTGGCCCTCGAACTCAGAGAGCCAGCCTACCTTTGCCTCCTGAGTGCTGGGATTAAAGGCATGCGCCACCACTGCCCCGTTCCCTCAATGATTACATCAGCCCTATACAAAGGTTATCATATAGTTTCCATTTTACCAATGATAATGCCGAGGCTCACAGAGAATAAATGTCTCTCCCAGGAGCTTCTAGTGAGTAGGAGGTGGGCTCCTCCGAGGGAGCAGCAGTCCACAGACGCACCTCAGTATTCAAGAAGAGAGTCTTCATCTCCTGCAAGAGCTGCCGGGCCCACGTCTTCTCATGCACCTGCTGCAGGCCGGCGGAGGCCCGCTTCAGCAGCGGCTGCGTGCCACCCCACAAGGCGGCCACCAGCACCAGAGCTAGCACCTGCCCTGAAAGCAAAGGATCAGAGTCACCCAGGCCCTCCCCGGCCTCCTCCGGCCCGGCTGACCGGCTCCATCTCCGTCCCGTGCTCTCCGCGCCGGGCTGCGCTAGGCCGGGAGGTCCCGCACCAAAGGTGGCAGAAGTGAGTTTGTCCGGGACTGAGCAGCCCTGGGACTTAGGGGTGCCGGGGACGTGAGATAGGAGACCCCGGCCAGAGTCGGTGCCGCGGAGGGGCGGGGCCAGCTACCCACCCAGAGACGCCGCCATGGCAACGCCAGACCCTTCTACTTCCGGGAGCCAGGGGGCGGAGTCCCCGCATCCGGAAGTCCAGCCTCATCCTCTTCCGGTCCTACTCACATTGCCTCTATCTTCGCGTCACCGCCGGGATGGTGAGTTCCAGGCATGTGGTGCTGCGGTGTGGGGGTCCCCAGTCGGGATGGGACGGGGTTCCTGGCACTGACACTCCCGCTGTGTCCCCACAGAAGCCCATCCTGCTGCAGGGCCATGAGCGGTCCATCACGCAGATCAAGTACAATCGCGAAGGAGACCTCCTCTTCACCGTGGCCAAAGACCCCGTGAGCCGCGGCGCGAGGGAGGGCGGGAGGGCGGGGCGCCCGGAGGGGCGAGTTCGCACCGTCGGGAGGGTGGGTGAACAAGGCAGGAATCGCCTGGGGGCAATTCCACTGAAAAGCAGGAAACCACCGGTCCCGGGCGGGGTAGGGGAGGGAGACCTAAGATAAGTTGATGGCTGATGGGAAAGAGGACCCAGGGAGAAGAAAAAGAAGAGACTGTGTGGTAGGGGGACTGGGACAGGGTCAGCTCTCGAGGATGGGAAGAACCAGAACGGACAACCGCTAGAGTTTGGAGGATAAAGCTGATCCATGGGCAGTGAGCTGTGTCATTATGAGGGGCTTGGGGTTGCAGTTCATACTAGAGTGGCTAACATGCCCCTGGGTTGGATCCCTGGCACCAAGTAGGAAAAGAGGGGAAGAGGAAAAAGACGTAGAACTTAGTGAGGCTATTCCTAGGCTTAGTCTGTTCACTCCCAAGTTGATACTTGGTGCGCAGTCTCTTTGGGTACTGCCTTTTGAGGCATTTTTGCACATGGAGACATTTAACTGATGGTTAACAGTGGGTAGTCAATTCGCAGCACCCTCATGGCAGCTCCCATCTGTCTATAGCTCAGGTTCCAGGGGATCTGGCACCCTCACACAGGCATTCATGTAAGCAAAACACCAATCACATAAAATAGAAGTAAATTATTAAACAAAACAACAGCCGGGCGGTGGTAGCACACATCTTTAATCCTAGCACTCGGGAGGCAGAGGCAGGCGGATCTCTGTGAGTTCAAGGCAAGCCTGGTGTACAGAGCGAGTTCCAGGACAAGCTCCAAAGCTACACGGGGGGGGGGGGGGGGGGGGGGGGGCACACACACGGGACACCCCAGCATTGAGTAGTCTGAAGGCAGAGCTTGATGTGAGTCCTAACTCCTGTATCTACTAGCAGTGTGACTTTGAATATGACACGTGACCTTTCTAAATTACAGTTTTTCCCTTTTAATAAAACATGGAACTTTAAGTACCTCCCTCAATAAAATGAGGTCATTCTTGTAATGGTTTTTCATCATACCTGGTGTATGTTAGTCACTTACATTTTACATTTCTTAGACATTTTATTGGAGTTTCTGAGCTGGCCTGTGCCTCTCCATCCTCATGCCACAACTTCCCAGTCCTGGGAATATAGGGTGTGCTGCCACATACACAGCTTGGCCTTGCCCTTTAAAATATGTGCTTTAAACATAATGAATCTGTTTATCTTAAGTGTATGGGTGTTTTGCCTGCATGTGTATGCCTGGTGCCTGAGAAGGCCAGAAGAGGGTATCAGATCCCCTGGAACTGAAGTTACAAACCCAGGTCATCTAGAAGAGCAGCCAGTGTTTTTTAACCTCTGTGCTATGTCTCTAGCCTTTTTAAAGATGACAGTGAGCAGGGAGGTGGTGGTGGTGGTGGTGGTGGTGGTGGTGGTGGTGGTGGTGCTCCTCGCCTTCAATCCTAGTGCTTGGGCAGCAGAGGTAGGTGGATCTCCGAATTTGAGTCCAGCCTGGTCTACAGAGTGAGTTCCAGGACAGCGAGGGCTGTACAGAAAAACCCTGTCTCAAAAAAAAGTTCAGAGGGCAAAGCACTGAATTTAAAACCACAGCGAGAGGGACAAAGTAGCAGGAGAGCCCGCACATCCTGACTGCCATCTGTTCCCAATTGGATGGGACACCTTGGCCTTTGATTCTTCAGGGAGATGCTGAGTCCAGACAGAAGATACTGAGGATGTGATTGCAGGCCTAGTTTCAACACTGCTTACTTTTAGGATAGAGGAGAACCCAGGAGCTGGCCTTCTTTTATCAGCTGTCTAATAAATGAGCAGAGGGCACACTTGGCTTGGCTCGAGTCTACAGAGGGTTTGTTGGGCCACATGAGCTGTTGCTTTTTCTGAGATGTGACCCACCTGTCATTTTACTCTTGCAGATCGTCAATGTGTGGTACTCTGTGAATGGCGAGAGGCTGGGCACCTACATGGGCCATACTGGAGCTGTGTGGTGCGTGGATGCTGACTGTATCCTTTTGGCTGTGGGTTGGCCAGCCTGGAGATGCCGACTTGGAGGTTGGGAGTTTGACATGCTGCAGTGCTCCAGAGAATACGGCTTCCTACTCCCTTTGCTTCATCGACTGGGGAAACAGGGCAGGTCTAAGTTTTGGATTCGAAGGTCGGAACACTCTGAGGGGAGAGAGGAAGAAAGGCTCCTTGGGGCTGAACTGGGAGACGCTTTAGATGGCTTCCAGCATGGGCTCGGGTGGACTCAGTCATTTTCGTGTGTGTGTGTGTCTGTGTGTGTGTGTGTGTGTGTCTGTGTGTGTGTGTGTGTGTGTGGTGTGTGTGTGTGTGTGTGTGTGTGTGTGTGTGATGAATCTGTATGTGCAGGTCATGTACTTAGGGAGGCCAGAAGTCAGCATCAGGTGTCTCTTTAATCACTCTTCAATCTACCTACCTTTCTCTCTCTCTCTCTCTCTCTCTCCCTCTCTCTCTCTCTCTCTCTCTCTCTCCCCCTCTCTCTCTCTCCCTCCCTCCCTCTCTCTCCTTCCTTTCTTTTCTTTTCTTTCTTTCTTCCTTTCCTTTTCTTTTT